AGTCCTTGACAAGCAGTCAAGTGGGCTGGACTTCGACATTGGTTGGGAAAGGACCGTGCCACGGTCGTGTTTGCAAGAGCTACAATGGACATCTCACTGTAAATCTCCGGTTCATGGTGTGATATCGCTTGTAGCTCTTGTAAGCACAACCGGTGCACGCTCCATTCGCAACTGGAGTCTGTCCATGGGAGTGAGAAGGATGGGACGTTTGGGTCAGATGAAGGAAACTGGGTATTGCTTCTCATAGCTAAAAATCAATCAAACACCCAACATCACAACACTACCTATATTTGATTGTCCTGTGATATCGCGACTGAATGAATGTAGCACCTACATAGATATCCACATGACAATTCCCATCTCTTCTGACTGCACTGAATTTGAACGTATCACACCACCAGGATCGAAGTCCACCTGGTTCCTTGTTGGCTGGGCTGATCGTATTCGACCGCTATTCGATCCGTTTCTAGGTCACCTGCTGGTGTCGATGAAGTAAAACACCGCACCCGTTCAAGTTGCAAAAACCAAAATGAGATCTGGTCGTTCGGAACAGACTCAACCTGTTATGGTAAAGGGATCTGGCTGAACTTTTACTGCTTAGACGCTGTAGCTGAAATACGCTCTTTGTGCTCTTTGTGATGCTCAAGTCATGTCCCACACTTCGCCACGAACCCCAGAGGCTTTGTACGAACACGATCTTGCCGTTCGACCGAGAACACATTCGCTAACAGGTGAAGAGGAAACGGCAGAAGGACAACACATTACCATTAAAAGCGTCGACAAGGTCAGAGTTCGGCGCGTCTTGACTTGTTCTACTTGAGCCTCTTCCAATCCCGAATAGCAGAGGAACCCACAATCCCCGCCACACGAAATGCTGCCAAAGAGAGCAACATTGAACAGCAATACGTTTCTGAGACCAGTCAAGAATATAGACATCCTGCTTGACGACAAATCATTTTTCAGTCGCGCTCCATGGCGACGACTGAAGAGACCATCTCTGACATTGGTACCGCGGTGGCTCCTTACGGTCTATCTCCTCAAAAGTGAGGACCCGAATGAATAGTTAAAGCGACTGAACAAACCCGATATCCGCACTGACTTCAATAGACACGAAACGAATTACATCGTCTATTAAATTCGACCACCATAGCAGTATACCGAACACACGGCCCAAACAACTACGAAGTCACCGAGACCTTAGTACAGCAACTTCGACTTCGAGAAGCTGATACGACCGACAGAATAATGACCTAAAGAACGCCAGCAAATTTGGCTGCTGAGAGCGTACGAGAAGAGATCAAGGAGCCAAGCTCTGAAACCCGAAGCTTCGAGTAGGTGTTCTGATACATTTTCACCACTGGGGCGAGTCACGCTCAACCCCATATATAGGGACCTGTGCCCCGAAGTAGTCTGGAGCGCCATACTGGCTTGGGCTGCCTTATGATCTGGGAGTTTGGTGTAAGCTGCAAATGAGTATCGGTGAGACGATCGCCGGGTGGCTGACATGAGTGACAGAAAAGAAACATAGTAGGAATCTATCGCCCGAGACTAATGGGCCTTCCATCTTCGCCAGCCTCGACGATTAGTAAATCACGGCCGGAACTTCGATCACTACGAGTATCATGATAAGCCCAATGATCGAAACCACCGATCTAGTACTCGAGACCTGGACAACCTTGATACCGATCGCTTGGTTCTGCGAAATTGTGGCATCGTTTAAACCGCCGAGAGCAACACCACGGGTGCTGACACCGGTGATACGAGGATAAGATTCCAGAGCTGGCTTTGGAAAAGTACATTACTGGTTGGTGGCTCTAATAGAACCGTCCGCAAGCCTGTTCATCGGTTGAGAGGAGTAGGAGCCGATGGAACAGTGGAGCTAATGTCCATATTCACTACTCAGTACGACTAGTCTTGTACGGCAGAAAGGATGTCAGGTCAAAGGATTCGAACAGAAAGGTGGTCAGCTGGGAGAAAATGACAGATCTAAGGTTTGTCTATTGGGCTGAGCATGTGTTCAGATATGCTTGGGCTCGTGTTCGTCCATTTATGAGTATGACTACAACACCGCTGATCATAATCTGTATAGTTCCTTCAGAGCCTGACCGAGATCACATAGAACCCCCTACCCAGGGCGACCTCGAAACTGATTGTGACACGGGTATCGATCAAAAGATAAGGGCTGAATTTGACTGCGACACCAAGTCTAGAACAAGACTTCCAGCTGGCGAGGGCTTTTAGGCTATACACGGGCTGTGATCGAAACGTCTACGATTTCAAACGCCAATCCAGAGAATGACCTTTCTCTCTGAATTTACGAGCATATACTGTGTCGAGAAGAACCGTTACTGATTTTGTTACAGGATGTTCAAAATGCCGCGCTCTTGATCTACCACACGAGAAATCCGAACTCCTGACGAGAGTGCAGCCAATTGCTATTGTACACCTTCGAACGTTGCCTCTAGACTTTCAACATCTTGATAACAGCCGAGACCGATAGTACGATCACCAGTGATGATCCTCAACATGAGCGGACGCCTTGTCTAATTAGTGAGGATGGGAGAGTATCTATTGAAAATGCGCCCCGACATTCTCAGGAACGATAGAAAAGATGTTCAAGTCGGCCATATACACGAATACGATGTTTAGGGTTAAACAAAGCGGTTTGTCAGGTTGGATCGACCTGGGTCATCCGGCTACCCCCAATGTAACAAAGAAAGAGTTAATCATTCAAGGAAAGGACTGAAGCGACAACGGATACAACCAGGGGTTGTGCGGCTAGCATACTGCCTCTACCCCAAAGGCCCTTGCTCAGCTCAACTCGAGAGCTATATGCAGGCTTGAAGAGATCACAAACGTTACTGAGGTGTGTAAATTACAGAATATTATTCTCTGAGGCTTATGGTGCCAGAATTAAATAGCCTAAGAGCCGGCCTAAGTTCTCATGAAGTGTAGAATTGTTTCATCTCTTAGGCTTTCGACAGCCAGTTCTCCTTATTAGTACACTGCCTTGGTCGTCAGAGTATTGGTACTCGTCGGCGATCCAAGGTAGATCCATAGGGGCTACCGCGTCAAAGAGTCTCGACTTTGGTCTCTCATAATATGTCAGAGACACGGGCTCATCAGGACGTACTCCAGCCAGGTAATCTTGCCAGTGCTTTGACCTTCGTTTCCTTCGTTCCGCCTTTCTCTGAATTTCTCCCTCAAAATCATCATCCTCACCTTGTAGATCAACAAGGTTTTCGATTGTCGGGAAGTGGCAAGTTGTATCCGGATAGAATCTATGGTCATCGAAAAGTCCCCATGCTCGTTGTTGGTATATATGAAGCTGGAGCTTGTGTGCCCTGCACCATCGTGGAAGGCTCAGATAGCCCAACCGGTCATTACCTGAGAGATAATTGTTCAGCTTTTTGTTCTCCTCTTCGCTCTTCAGTAACTCATTGGAGAAGCGAGATGACATTATTAGCTCTCTGTAAACAGAATAATACTCTTTGTCGTGGCGCGGATTATATTGTGCCCTGATCCACGGCTCAAACATATATTCTTGCCCGTCCACGAAACCCTCCAGCCACTCTTTGATGTACTCCACTCCCCTAGGATGTCCTTTCAAGCAGCTAAGGACGCGTGTGAGTAGATCCAGGCCGCAGCCTGCCAACTCCGCCGTTACTCTGCTCCCTCCAATGCCTAGATCCTTCAGATAAGCCTCTGCACCGAAGAACAGATTGTCAGGGAACTCCAGTGGGAGATATTTCGGCGCAGTCGAAGAAACATTTGTAGCTTTTCCAGCCGCATCAGACGACAAAAAGCTTGGTAGGTCGGGCAACCACGCATCGCCGCAATGGGCAAACACTGCGCCATATAGCCCTATATAGTACTCATGTACGGATAATAATGCTTTTGGATCCGGAGCATTGGGTGTACCAAAAGCGTTGAATTTGCGATAGTCTTTGGGAACACGCCATTTATCTTCGCGGGTGTTGTGAATTTCGCAGAGCAGCTCGTATCTCACAAAAGCGCGTAGTAGACGGTAACGCTCAGAGCGCCTCAGGGTGGTAAATGGAAGAAATCTAGTCTCAAGCAAGCTGCCCATAAAGCTGGTTTTCCCGGTCTTTAGGTCTGGTAGACCGAGGTAAGCGCGAGGAGGATACTCGCTTGTTGCCTTTGAGATGTAGTCCTCAATGAATTCGATAATTCGACTGACGAGACGATGGACCTTTTGGAGATAACCAATTTTGGGAGACTGTGGCCAGTCCGACCATTGCCATTTCTTTACGTTTATACTGCGGGTTCTTTCCCAATAATATTCTTCTTCTTCTTCTTCATCTTCTTCTTCTTCGTCATCATCCTCATCTTCTTCTTTGGGCTTCGGAAATTTGATGATTGCCAACACATCCTTTCGGATTTTATCGTCCACATCGTCGGCAAACAGATTGGCCAAGATGCTCTCCAAGATACCTCGCTCGCAGCTCGAGTAGAGCGAGGACATAGAAGGATATGCTTCAAGTAAGCGGTCGATACTGGACTTGGTTTCTAGCTGAACGATGATGTCTCTGAGAATCTCGCCTGGGAGCTTCGTCAGTCTATCATCTGAAGTTGAAGACATCTTGCCTAAGTCTTAGGGCGCCAAAGTAAAGCAGCCTAAAATCCGGTCTAAGCTTTAGAAAATCTCTCAGGATGTTTTATCTTTTAGAATTCCAGCGGTCAACTTCCGATACTCTGACGTTTGTTTTGGTGCGGTAGTTGCTTGGGATTCCTGTTCTAGAAAGGCGATGGGTGTGGTGAAGGTGGAGAGAAAGAGTAAGATGCCAAGAGAGAAAAGGAGATAGTCTTCTCTGGGAAAGAACGAAGTATTTATACCATAAATTCCTGGCTAGGTTCGTGAAGGAAGCCTTCATGTGAGCCAAACTCAACCAGTCGTGCCTCTCAATCAGAGTTATACTCTCAGCCATGCCAGCCCCCAACAAAGTTATCTGCCTAGAGTCTGAATGAATAAACGTGACACTTCTGCAATTTGACATAATTATAATTCCAATGCTTTCCGAGACCCCCCTCTCGCATTTCTACGGTTACGCAAACTAAGTTAGTGATGGACTGGAGGTTAGCCCTATACTTCAACTAAGGAGTAACTAGAGTTAATGGAACCTGCGTCAGAATTGCCCTTGGTAGATTGATGTTTATGCGCACATAACAAAAGAGCGACCGGAACCATGAAGTATTGCTGGACTTTGTTCCAACAAGCTCGCTTGAATCAGACCCTAAGAGATTAGTGGTCATCTGCAGGAGCACATGTTCTCTCGTTCATCACTAGGAAATTGAACGTACGCGGGAACCGGTCCGGATATTTCTTTGCCTGAGCTTTAATCGAGTAGTTCTTCGCGAGTGTGTTAGAACGGTGTCACTGGGAACCAGTGATGAAAGGGGGCCGCAAGTCAAATCTCTCGCAACAACTCAACCTTGCACATACTCCTCACAATTATCTTCGCCACAATCGCTTGTGGATTCTATCAATTACATTGGTAGAGCGTCAGATAACTTTGTGGTACAGAAGTTTCCCCTGCCCACAACCGGGTTCGTCTCCGCTGAAAGGGTATGGAAGACTTAACCAACGACGGTACGTACGCATCCATTCCTTTCCCGGAAGTGAACGAAATACCCTTGGCATATATTTATTCGCTATAGAGAAAACCCAGGATTGGCCTGCTGACGAAGCACAACTATGCCTCGAGAGCAAAGGCGCATCAACTTCTCTCAGCTTATCCCCCAAATCTCTAGACACGCTGGATCAGACTGTCTGTAGGTTTGTGAGATCGCAAAAGTACGACCGGAATAACAGATATGGTTCTGCCTATCTCAAGTGTACGGGCACGGCTAACATGCTTCTCCTAGCTGGGAATGTTGTTCCCCAACGGTTATTCAGCATTCTGTGTTTACATGGTTATGCAGCGCGACATCGCCACGATAAGTTTGACACACATCCTATTCGACGGACCCTACCAATGGAATCAAGACTGCCGTATCTCCCCCCTCTCACAAGACTCGACCTAACCGAGCTTGCCAGTCGGTCGAGTGCTTCACCCCATCACTGTATCAAAGGAGGACATCCCTCCAATTGAAACTCTCCCGCGACTCGCCTTGCCAACGATAAGGCATGCTTTACGGCCCTGACACGAGTAGGAAAGCTCCTCATAGAGCAAAGCGCATTCATGCCCAAGAAGTCCCCCGCCGATAACTCCACTGGCTAATGGTCCAGTGCTGGGTCTCCGATCTATCGGAAGCCTTTAAGCAATTAGTTCGACTATTAGTGAAGCATACTATCGAATATAGAGAGTTCTGTCAATTCTATCAATATATCAAATCAAGTCTTTCAGCAAAGAGCGGTTCTCATTTTCCTACATCGCCCGAATCAATGGCTGAACTACTGTAACAGATGAATTATTCTGCGAGACCTAGGCGCCAAAGCAAAGTGGTATAGATGCCCGTGTAAGCTGAAATAAAGTGTCTAATCTCCTATACTCCCGGCGGCTAATATTTCTGGTTGTGATGTCTTGTAAACTCATCTCAACAATGACACTGACGTCAGGCGAAACGCTAGTGGTCTAACCGAAACATATGATGGCATCGATTTGACGTTTGACCAGACAACGCGAAAACGGCACGAAAGATGGAAAGATCGATGTAGTCGATGACCTGCTGGAAGGTCAATGTCTATGACATCACTTGTGCAACATTCAAACGCGACGCGTCCACCGTGTTCTACGCACCTTCCCGTTCCTCTGCGACTTACTTCCTGAATTCTACATACTCTCAAATCATCAATTGTCTCCGTTACGTTACCATTGACTGCCCAAAATGACTGACTCAAAGCACGAAGACGTTGAGAAGACCAATGGTGAAGAACAGACCGGCGAGAAGCATCAGATCGAGCAGGATGCACCCGATGCCAAGCGCACCAAGACTGATGGTCAGACTACACTCGATGATGTGGTGATCAGGTCAGATAAGGACGAGTCAAAGGACGAGAAGAAGGATGAATCCAAGGACAAGAAGGACGACACTGAGAAGAAGGATGAGGACACTGTCAAGCCTGAGAAGAACGAGTCCAATGGCGACGATGCCGTGCAGCCTGCCGAAGAGCCTGATGTTCCCTCCAACATCCTTGAGAAGGGCATCATCTACTTTTTCATCCGCGGTCGCGTGAATCTCGAAGACCCTGAGAGTGTTGACGATATCGCCCGATCCTTCATCATGCTACGCCCTATCGCAAAGGACGCTCGTCTCGGCGATGGTCCCATTGCTGATGCTGGCAACACACGACTCCTTGCTCTTCCCAAGAAGACCCTTCCCGAGAGTGGAAAAGAGAAGTACATGGTATTTGTCGAAAAGTCTCACGCCTCCTATGAGGAGATTAAGAAGGAGTTTTTATCTGCGGACGAGTACGATACCAAGTCTGCCGGTACTCGTCGTACACCACCCGCCAAGCCTGTTGGTGAGGGCGTTTACGCCATTACTTCGACAGGTCGGGAGAGTCATTTGGCTTACTTGACCACTTTGCCCGAGAAGCTTGATGAGGTTCAAAAAGAATTGGGTCTCAAGGAGAAGGGAAGCTTCATTATCAGTACCAAGAACCCTCAGTTTCCAGGACCCCAGAACGCCCAATTGCCCGAAGGACCTGGCTTCCCCAAAGAGTAAATACATTCCGCTTCTCTCTCGATGTCTAATGCTAACTGATCAGAATCATTGACGAGTTTCGCTCTCTGCGCTGGCTACCCTCCAAGCCCGCCCACTTCGACTATCCCAATGCCCAGATCCTGTTCATTGGAGAGTCGGAAGGCATTGAGAAGGCCGTTGAGCCTCAGAAGAAGGACGAGAAGGACGGAAAGGAGGAGCCGGAAAAGGTTCTTGAGCATCTCGAAGAGGACGACGTGAAGCGCATGAAGCATCTTGCTGATGACCAGTCGGCTGCTATCTATGCTGATTTGCATGTTCATGCTAAGGATTATCCTAAGCTGCAGACTACTTTCTAAAAGGTTTTGGTATGGGACGGGAAAAGGGCGAAATGGGGTTATTTGATCACAAATTCGGTTACGCAGAAATAGACGACGGCCTCAATTGCAAGGTTATTAATAATTTACGTCACTTACTATGGTAATCCCGTCCTGACATTTGGCAGTGTTGGCCTAATAACATCCATAAGGATCCGGATGTTGCAGTTGTTAGGCATCTCCACCAAATTTGTTAGTGTAGCTTAACAGTTCTCGGCGCGCGTCAATTTCTCTCGCTTCACCATCAGAGCTCTCAAAGTTGGCTTGTCATTCAACTTTTTCAACCATTGTGTCTGAGTTTATATACAAGCCATTGATGAGGAAATGGACGTTCCAGTCGCAGCCAACATCCTTGGCACATTAGGGGCCGTAAGTCGCTTTCCTGACGAACAAATGCAGTTGTTAACATTCTTAGGTGTGCTGGTCAATCCAGGTTCGTGACTTGATCCAACATCGCGTATAAGCGAAGCGCAACTAATATCTCATAGTTGATTCCGCAAATCATTGTCAACTACCGCCGTCATAATGCCACAGGGTTACAACCATCGATGATGATGCTCTGGGCATGGGCGGGTGTTCCGCTAGGAGTGTACAATATTGTCAAAGACTTTAACATCGCGTTGCGAATTCAACCTCAGATCTTGACGCTCCTGAGTCTTGTTACGTGGATCCAATGTTACTATTATGAAAGAGTAAGTGGTTTGCCTTTTCGATCGGTGTAGGTAGTAGCTAACAGCCAATAGAAATGGAGTGTCTATCGCTCTCTTCTCGTGGTCGTTCCCATCGCAGTCGTTATGGGCGGCATTCAAGCTTCTCTTATCATAGCGCTTCGTATCGCCAGATCGAAAGACTTAGAATGGCCCTTGATTTTAATGGCCTCTCTATCCGCAGCATTACTCGCAGCCGGAGTGCTAACACACTACTGGGATATTTGGCAGCATCGAACTGTCCGCGGAATCTCGTTCCTCTTTGTCGCCATCGACGCAGCTGGAGATGTCTTTTCGCTAGTTTCAGTGTTCTTCCAGCCTGAGCTTGACATCTTGGGGATTGTTATCTATGCGACGGAGTTTGTGCTCTGGTGTGGTGTTTTTGCTTGTGGCGGATATTATAATCTCCTGCCCTGGGTTAGAGAGAGATTCGGGAGCGGAAATAAGAGTGTTGATTGCGGGGATAACACAGGCGAGTGCGAAGGGGACGGTGTTATGATGAGGGAGAATGTATCGTCGAGTTCAGTGTTTAGGACAGCATCAGGAGATGAAGGTGTGAGGGCGAGGAATGTCCAAGGACGCGGTTCTCAAGATATCGAGTGATACACTTTTCGAGAGCACCAAGAAATGCATCTCATTATTGCTTACTTGACTCATATCTGTATACGCAGTGACATATACTGTCTCGAGGCTGGAGTGGTTAGACACGCCAATGCTACTCTCTCAATCTTCAGTGCCATCTACTAAAGCACTTTTATAAAAGTCAGGCAGTTTACCATTCCGATACTTCCACAATCGACTCAGGTCTCCCATCCGGGGAACTTCGTCTGGCCTGACCTCTCCATTCGTCGCACCAGAATCCCAAGTAACCGTAAATCCTTGGGGAAGCTCTGCTCTTTTCGTCTCCCTGATAGTATTATCCTTCCTGACTCGGACTTTTCTGTTCATAAAATCTCCCTCTCTTGCATTCCGTGCCTGTCGAAGGTCACTGTCCAGAGGGAACATGTCATCGAGATAATGCTGGTTGAGCTGATGTCCGCCACCTCGATTAATAAAGACTTTCCCCGCGAATCGATTCTCGTTCTGGGTGTAGTGTCGTGTGAAATTAAGAACTCCGAAGCGACACGCAAAGTCCTTCTCGTTGACGTAGTGCTCGATATGTGGGATGACAGGTGAACTCGGATCGTTGCCACGGCATGGATTGCTGAAGTGATTCGCGAGATTGCCGAAAGTGTACACTTCGAGTTTCTGGAGCTTGTCGAGGGGCATTTCGTCGAGGAGCCAGTCTATGATCATACCGCCTTCGATACCGCCTTGGGAGTGTAGGATGAAGACGACTTTCTTCTTTTGGTCGTCCAGGAGGGCGTTTTTGACGAGGACGTAGCATTCTCTGACATCTTGGGTTGCGTAGAGGAGGGCTCGTTGGATCAAACACTGGATGAGATCGAAAACAACACCGGCGCTAGAGACGTTAGAAAGAATAATCTTGATGGTGGGTGTTCTTACGTTCTGTTGTGAATACCGATCACTGGCCGATGAAAAGTCCTTGAAAGGCGATCGATGTTCTTCTGAAACCAGTTTTTGCTGAACACTTGTTGTTAGTTATTTTAACCAAAATAACAGTTTCTCAGATAGCTCACCCTACGCAGATACCGTTGAGAAAGATCCAAGTTTCATTGTCGTGTCGAGGCCAACTTTGAGAAAGGTCATCTTCCGTCGATTTCAGGCCACTGCGGGGAATTCCTCTGTTGAAATGCCAACAGATGAGCTCGTTTAGCGCAAAGTAGACAGCGACATAGCCAACATAGGTAAATGTCGGAAGAAATGATAATGTGAAGAGCGAGATCAAGAAACCCAATTGCATTACGGCAAGAACAACATGGAGGGCAATATCTGTGAGGTTCTCCGCAGAAGGGTACAGCTCACAGAGTTCTCCTGAATGCCACGGATACAGAGGAATGAAGAGGTAAGGAAGATAGAAGAAGTTTTGGAAGAAGAGTTTAATATCGGAAACAAAGATCTTCCATGGTGTTCCCGTGTATGGGGGCGGTAACTTGATAGCCTTGAGTCCTTCGTGAGATGGAGGTTCAATGTAAGGAAAATTTCCGTCGGGGTCAGTCCTGTGAGGCATTTCGAGTATTTCTTGGTGAATGTGCTTTTTGGGTGAAACAAAGGATTCTGTCTGTCGGAGAGCAGCGGTTTATATCCCAAGGCTACATTCCACCTGCCCAACATCACAAGGACCAAGACTGAGACTGAAGCAATAGGTTCCCATCACAAGACGTCATGACCATGAATCAAATGACGGCAAGTTCCTTGGCGATAAAAGATAAAAGCATTAAAATAAGTCAACTTGAATTGGAACTCAATAAACTGTCGCCAATTCGCATGTGAACATTGGCGAAAAAGACAAAATACGAAATGTGGCTGGAAGTGCTGCGTCTGGGCTTATGTTGCTTCCTCAGCCTCTTGCGACTCTGCAACTCGACGCTGTGCTTGAACTATCTCTAACCAGTCAGGGTGAGGATATATGCATATATACGGAAAGTATCGTTCCATCTTGGAATAGATTCTCATATGTATGGACTGTAAGTTTGTTCAATGCCAATGTCCGCCTTAAGGGCATCTCTTGCGTATCACCTCCACGACTCCATTTACGACGCTCTCTCCGCCAACACTCGGAGGCTCGTTCTGGAGACCCAACAGTCTCCGAAGACAATAAGCTGGGCTGAAAATAGCTTATTTAGGCATTTTCTTGGCTGATGGAAGTGTCTCAGAGACAACTTCATTTTCTTTTTGTCACCGGAACTGCTATAATCTACCTACTGACCTTTAGCTAACATTTTCGCCTCAACAAAACGACAAAACGTAAAATTATACAATGCTCCTTTTTGCAGAAGAATAACTACCAGAAAAGGGGATTAGTTCGTTGTACATGGAAACAAGTGACCTAGAGACCGAAATAGAACACAGGCATGATGAACTCGACATACTATCATATAGATATTAGTATCTACTTAAAAGCTACTAATAGTATAGTAACAAGGGAGACATCTCGGTAGTTCAAGCTATCCAACTCTTCTCTTTTCTAGTTTCATGGGTAGTTCACTGAGGTTATCGTGTCGTTCGCTGACTGTTTTGTAACTTTGAGTTCAACGGTGACGTTTTGTTCTAAGCCTCCGAAAACGGCACAATTAACCTTTAAAGTTAACATCTTTCCGACTGTCTCGTTCAATTTGCTTTTGTTGTTTGAATAAGAATAAAATGCCCCTAGAGAAAATTCCGAGACTCGTTCTAGCCCAACAACCAGAACACCATGAGTCGTCGGCTCCTGCTCCTGCGACAGGGGTTCGCTTTTAGTGGACCTCTACCCCTAAGACGGATGCGTCACCCCCAAGAAATATCCTTGTTCCCGTTCTCGTTCTCCATCATGAATGTCGCTCCTCCGTAGCAGTAGCAGTCAAAGGCATTTCCTTAGCAGCACAAGGCCCTGAGTGCCATGTTTGATACCCAGCTGCGATGCCTTCAGTCTGGTCTTCATCCAGCCGGCGACTAATGCTCAACAAACGCTTCAGTCGCATGGCCATCGCCGGTCTATGCACCATCATCTTTCTCATCCTCGTCTTTTGGGGTGTTATCCACGGCAGTTATGGAGTATCCGAATATTATTCTTTTTCCACAACGAGCTACTTCTACCCAGTATCTGTCGACCCTGCCGGCAAGACGACCGAAGACCTATGCGCTACCTTTCCCAAGCATCTCCTCCAGACGATCCAGCCTGTTCTGAAGATGGGCCATGCCGATACGAAAGACAAACTCGACGCACAGTTCAATAGCGTTAGTGCTTGTTTTGATAAGGACGAGTTGCTGGTTTACTCGGATCTTGACGAGACTGTCCACGGCCACCAAGCGATCGATGTCCTCGCCGATTCACCTTCCATCTACTACCATGATAACCCCGATTTCGTCAACTACATATGGCAGAAGGAGATGCGAGCCAATGGAACTCTGGATGTGGATAAGGAGGCGACTGCGCGCATCCAAGGCTGGAGAATGGACAAGTTCAAGTTCCTTCCTATGATTGAGCGAGCCTGGAGAATGAGACCCAACAAAGAGTTCTACTTTTTCTTCGAGACTGATACGTGAGTTGCCAGTATCCTTAAACCCACGGCTATAAGCCACTAACGAACAGCCCTATAGCTACGTCTTTTGGGACAACGCCTTCCGCTTCCTCCAAACCTTCGATCCCGATGCGCCTTTATACATGGGCTCTCCGTCACCCGGTAGACACGACGTTAAACAAGACATCAAGACATGGTTCGCAAACGGCGGGCCGGGCTTTGTGCTCAGTCGCGGTGCGATGAGGGCACTCCTGGTTCGTAAGACCACATCGTACGGGCAGTATGTCGAACCTCCGGCTGCGGAAAAGTGGCTTCCCATGCTACGGGACGATTGCTGCGGTGATAGCGTAACAGGCTGGGCTTTGTGGAACGTCAGTGTGCCGTTGCGGGGGTATTGGCCGCTGTTCAACCCGCATCCTTTGCACAGTATCCCGTTCAGTGACAAGTACTGGTGTCAGCCTGTCATGACGCTACACAAGACACGACCAGAGGATATGACCAAGGTTTGGCGATGGGAGTTTGCTCAAAGACAGCTGGGTGTAAGTCAGTACATTATAGTCTTGTTTCACATGCTAACTTTTATAGCGCCCGTTGCTTTACTCTGATGTCTGGAAATTTCACCACCCAGGCGACCGCGAAGTGGCCGAGAATTGGGACAACGGAAAATGGGATTACTGGGTTGCGCCGCCTGAAGCAAGGGTTGATTCATTCGAAGCATGCGGAAAGTACTGCAAAGAGAGCAGCGACTGTCTTCAATACAACTGGCGAGGGCGAGACGAGCAAAAATGCGTTCTCTCACGATCATTCCGTGTTGGCGACCCAAGACAACCAGAGAAGATTGTTGAACCCGAGATCAAAGACGAGAAGGGCAATGTCATTCCACCACCACCTGATCGCAAAGATCGATGGGTGGACTTTAAGTCAGGATGGTTGACGGACAGGATTGAACAGTGGAGGAACAACAGGAATTGCACAGAAGTGCAGTGGGTTGGACCCAGTATCAAGAGAATCTTTTGATTTGATACCACCATATTACTATTCCGACAGAGGATTGTTGACATAGCCAGGCGTTAGGGCGATAGGCATTACAGTAATGGTTGGGTTATAGATATGCATGAGACATCTGGCTCAGCCAGTTTGATGAATTCCAGCATTATTGACAGTCACATCTTTTGACGAGGCCTGTCCCCATCGATGAAATAGCGATACCTGTCTATTCTACCGAGACCAAGCCCTATCTCTAAAGGTCGTTCTTGGCTCAGCGATGATTCATACCTTGGTATAAAAGAAATCTCACCATTCATCAACCAACCAATCCATGAGAACCCCCACGAACCATGCCAAATTAATCCCGGCTCACATCCGTAGCCAAAGGTCCAGAACAATTAAACTAGCGATGCAGGAAAACTCTGTATGTTACGGTAGTTCACTTTAGCTCACGAACTACAAGGGTGCTTACATGCACCTGAGGCTTAGAACGGCTACCGATGGGATGCAACGATAAGTTGAGCAGCTCAGAAAATTCGCTCATGAAGAATGATGCCATCATATGATAATCTTTTGCTTGGCTAGGGTACATGTCGCTAAAAGAGCCAAGGGCCGATGTATCTATTGACAATTCTTTTCCGGTGGTATTTTTGATCATTGTTTGTTGCAACACCATATTTTGATACTCGCCACAGTCCGATATCGCTACCATGGGAACAGCTGAGAATCAAGCAGATGAATCTGCGCGGGCGACAATGGGAAACAGAGATGAAGCTATCGCCATAGTGGGCGAGGAACAACATGCCATTGATCCTATTGTTGCCGCACGCGCTGTGAGGAAGATTGACATATTTCTCATTCCCGCCATGATCGTCGGCTGTACGTTCCACCTTCATCTATCTGGAACCTTCACTAACTTGTGAATAGATGGTCTGGTATACTACGACAAAGCCATTCTTGGCTCAGCCGTTCTCTTCGGCATGACAACTGATCTCGATCTCACTGTCGTCGACAACTCAACTACGCCACCAACCGTCGATACGCGCCGTCTCAGCTGGGCAACCTCACTCTTCTACTTTGGTATGCTGGCGGGTTTGTATCCCATGACTTTCGCCCTGCAACGCTTCGACATCGGTCGCGTACTGGGTGGCGTGGTCATCGTCTGGGCTGCGATATGCATGCTCACCGCCGCGGTGACGTCCTACCAAGGGCTTTACGTGCAGCGATTCTTTCTCGGCTTTGTTGAGAGTATCATCCCTACGGGGTTTATGTGTATCGTCTCAGGATACTATACTCAGGCGGAGCAATCTTTGCGACAGAGCTGGTGGTTCTCATCGACGGGCATTTTCACAATCATTGGAGGAGCGCTGAACTATGGTTTTGCACAGATTACAGGTGGCGGATTGAAGCGATGGCAGTACATCTACCTCCTCGCTGGCTCTCTGACGTTTCTGTTTGGGCTGTTCTGCTTCATCATGCCCAATTCGCCCGTCTCAGCGTGGTTCCTTACTTCTGAAGAGAGGTTTGCGGCTGTGGAGCGTCTGCGACATGGACAAACGGGTGTACGATGCACGAAATTCAAGGGATCGCAGCTAAAAGAGGCCATTCTTGATGTCAAGATCTGGCTCATCGCTCTCATGATGGCATCGGCCTATACTGTTAATGGCGCCGTCAGTGGTTTCGGACCTCTTATCGTCTCGACCTTCGGCTGGAGCACTCTTCACTCGATCCTATTCCAGTTCCCCCTCGGCGGACTGTGCTTCATCGTTATTCTCCTTACCGGCTGGCTGGGATCCAAGTTCAACAACATCCGAATCTTCATGCTCGTTTTTACATGTCTACCAGTCATTGCAGGCTGCGCAATCATCTGGAAGAGTGAGTGGTCGTATCGTGCTGCTGCGCCTGTGGTGGGATATTCCATCACTGGCTTCTTTGGAGGCACAGTGAGTCTTATCATCACAATTGGCATGTCCAATGTCGCTGGACATACGAAGAAGAGCTTCATGGCGGCCACGATTTTTGTAGCGTACTGTGTTGGAAATATCGTTGGTCCTCAACTTGTTTGGAGTCAGACCAAGAAGGACCATTATCCTGCTCTTTGGCTGGGCTTGATTATCTGGTAAGTTTCATATATGTCCCGATCTTTTCACAAGCGCTGACGATATCTAGCTACATCATTTGTATTCTTGCATCGACTACTCTGTACTTTGTACTTCGTAATGAGAATAAGAGGAGGGATGCGTTGGGGCTAGGAGATGAGAGCGAGCGAGCCAAGTTGGCTTTCCAGGACTTGACGGACAAGGAGAACACTTATTTCCGCTACATGTACTAACCCAAGCCCAGCGCGTATATATTCCGAATCTAAAAACTATGCAACGATAGATAGATGCACCGTAATAGAGGATGTGGGCTTATTTGTACGTGAATGCCCAAGCGCAGTAACAGGTGAGAAAGCCTCTCGAAATATCATAATATAGTCATTATATACGTAAGGTATCTATCATAAACAGCAACAAAGCCCATCTATATAAGCCGCTCCTTCATTTGACCCCTCCTAAAACACCTTACAACTTGGAAGGTGTCTCGTTGTGGTTCTTGATCTCAACAATCAGCTTGCCTGTGTTGATACCCTTGTACAAGTCGACAAGGGCCTGCTCAGCAACCTTGAGACCGCCACGAATAACAGTCTCGGTCTTCTTGAGCTTGCCCTCAGCCATCCACTTGGCCAGCTCGCCACGAGCGGTAGCAAAGTCCTTGACGTGGTCGAGGACGATGAAGCCCTGCATCTTGATGCGCATGGTGACGATCTGAGAGAATGCTCGGGGTCCTTGGGGCTTGGCGGCGTTGTACTGGCTGACGAGACCGCACTCGATGAAGCGGGCGTGCTCCTTTGCTCGCATGAGACACATGTCGAGGATGTCACCGCCAACTGAGACACATTAGTTAGGTACTTTTGTAAAGGGTAAAAAGAAGCTTACCATTGTCGTAGTAGACATCAATGTAGTCCTTGGTAGCCTCAGCGAACTTCTCCTTGAAGTCATCGGCCTTGTAGTTAAGGGCGACATCAAAGCCGAGCTCCTCAGTAAGCCACTTGCACTTATCCTCACCACCAGCAATACCAACAACTCTGGCGCCTTTGAGCTTGGCAATCTGGCCGGCGACACTGCCTGTCGCACCAGCAGCACCGGAGACAACGACAAGCTCACCGGGCTGAGGATCAGCGATCTTGGACATACCGACCCAGGCAGTGAGACTGGTCATGCCGAGGGCAGAGAGCATGTCCTTGGGGTCTTGGACACCTGGGTAGTAAGAGGTAGGCTCGAATCGACCCTCGGAGACAATGGCGAACTCGGTCCAGCCAGGGGTGGCAGCGACAATGTCACCCTCCTTTGCGAGCTTGCTCTTAGAGGCAAGGACACGGCATGCGCAAGATCCGCGCATGGTCTCGCCGATCTGGACGGGAGGGAGGTAAGATCGCATATCTGAGACATTGTGTCAGTGACTGAGATCTAGACGAAGTAAACAAGGTCTTTACCTCGGAGCCATCCTCGCATGGCAGGGTCTAGAGAGAGGTAGAGGGTCTCAACGAGGATCTGGCCATCCTTGAGATCATCTGGAGTGGGTGCCTTGCCGTGCTTCTGAGTAAAGGTGCGGCCTGGAATGATGTCGGTGGTAGGACGCTCAGCGAGCACGATCTCAAGGTTGTCGCGAGTCATTGTGAAACGGTAGAGGAACTGATTTTGGAATTAGTTTGTTGTTCTTTTAAGGTTGAGTTTGCGCTGTGGCGTGTTGGGCAACAGGTTCTATGCTGTGTCTCTCGATCTGAGGTTGTTGTGGGACAGTAGATCGCTGGGACCGACTGGGAGGGTTTGTACCTGCTTGAATTGAATCGTGTGTTGTTAATCAGGATGTTTGGAAGGAGCGTATCACGAGGAATTCGGGTTCTGATTAAATAGAGATTTAGTGCGACAAAAGACAGACAGTCGATGGGCCCCAGCCTTTTTGTAGTCAGTTCTTGTCTAGACTAGACTACGGATATGATACTTGGACCCTCCCTTCAAACATCGAACCTGAACCCCCAATAATTACTAAACCGGCGTGTCTTGTCTATCTGGGGTTGTTATCTCCGTCTATAGGGCCGGTGGAAAGCCTACCAAGGCCTGTGAAGCGTTGAGAATGCAAAACTAGCTCTGACACTATTCCGCCACCGGAGCGGACGCTATTCCCATACGGACATATCCCCGGCCCCTCCAGGGTATCATTCGGCACCGGTGTCTTCGGGGATCGACATGTTTAGGGCCCGGGCGTCCTTTTTGATGGGGTAGAGACAAGGCAAGCAATGAGACTTCAGTGCCTTTCAGCTCTAAACTGAGGAAACGTGTCCGGGTCATACAGTGGCTTACCTGCCCTGGATCAAACCTTAGAGTGCCGAGGCTCGGTACTGGAGTACCAGAGGGGTAATTGGGGCCTTGATTCAACTCAGCGTAGGATTTTGTTGTTGCAGACGCGGAACCTTTTGGTTCGTCATGAACCCTCTTTACGATGCGCGTCTCATATCATGTTCTGCATTCGTATAGTTTGTCCGACGGATACGCAATGCGAACCGGGGCGTTGAAAGTCTAACACGCCAAGGTCGGAGGAGGCGTTCAATCCATGTGATGTATCTTGATCCTTCGAAAGTCTTCGAATATGGTATCCATAGTACTTTTGGGTATTGTTTCATGATAGTAGCCGTAAACCTCGGGACCCATTAATCAGCGGCCGACCGTTGACCGAAACTTGCTCGCTTATGGAGCCCGAAGTACGGCAAAGGTTCGACGTGAGGTTATTGCTCCGGAGCCGGATCTTTCGGCCGAAGATCCCATGCAAGGGTGGTCTCAAAACCACGGCATTTAACGTTATCGGATTATAGATTCTGGCGATCTCATATAAGCAGCCATCCTGATCGATCATAAAAGCCATGATAACAGACAACTATATCGCTCACCGACTTGTGGAATGGGTGGCGTGATTGATATCAATCCGCATCAAGAAGTTCTCCCGATTGACTTGCTCAACAGGAGCACGAGGTTCAGAACCTCCATTCATCACCTATACAAACTCTTGAGTTGCGATCTCATCAGTAAACTTGCTTCCTCCGAACGTCGCAAGAGAACTCTTGGGTGTCATGCGATGGTAGGCTCGTGTAGACGTGATCCAATCGTTCCTTGCCTGGTGTATCATTGGTTGATGATCTTTGACGATCTCGAGGTTCTTGTAACCAGCCGTCTCAAGCAGACGCCATCATTATCTCGGTACAAACGTTATAGTACTTCTGCTTATATCGTGGTCGCTCAGGTCTTGCGGGAAATCAAGAAGAAAATACAAGCTGAGATACGCATAGTGGTACCTAGTCAAGCTTAGGTACCTAGCTGAGCAAAGATGGGAACGTATAATCTGTACCTGGAGTCAAGGCTCGGTAGGAAGGAACGGTGTGCCTGGGGGTTGCGAAGGTAATAGATGTGGAAAGGAAAGAACGCTATGGCCCGGTCTTTCCATCCATATTAAACATCGACGCACGATTCTGATGAAAAATACAAATTCGACGATTGAGGACTTGGGACTGTGGTAGTATTGGGTAGATGGGTCAACTCGAAAATAGCGGTCGCGGGTTGAATGTGTCTCATGTGTGATATAAACCCAGAGATATACGATACTTAATGGGGCATCACTTGAGCATCTGCATCACAATCTCAATAGTTGTGCTGCACACATGTTTATGTAGTAAATAAACGGGTATATACAAACTCTTGACTCATACAATAAGATACATCAGACTATAGCACAACATCTACGCAGTCTCAGCGTGTGTCGTCTCCCCTCCAACATCCCCCTTCATGCGCTGAGTAGCCTCAATCTTCTCGTCAAAGCCAGTGGCCTTCGAGCTTTGCCAAGCGGGAACGTTGCGATCAAACATGGCTTCCACTTCCTCAAGCGTCTTACGAGCGGTCTCGGGATAGGTGAAAAATGCGTGGACGGTCATGACGACACAGAATGTGCCGAAGATCATGTATGTCTGCCATTGGATGTTGGTAAAGGCGGGAGGTACGAAGAACGCTAGAGCGAGGTTGAAGCTGGAAGATAGTGGTTAGTGTCTGTGAAATATGCTTGTGGTGGCAAGATTACTTACATCCAATTACCAGAGGCAGCGAGACCAACACCCTTGGCTCGGTATTTGAGAGGGAAGACTTCACTAGCGTAGATCCAGGCGACGGGTGCCCAGGTAAGACCGTAGACTCCGACAAAGATGTAAGCCAGAGCGATGACGGCCTTGGCGGGAGCGCCTTGGATAGCCCAGGTAAGGATATCGTTGCCTTGTAACAGTCAGTTCTTGCACATTAACACATGAGATGAAGAATAACTTACCCTCAATACCGTCAACAGGATAACCATGAACAGCCATGACTGCTCCGCTGGTGAAGTGCAAAACGGCACAAACCAAAGCTCCGGCAATGAGAAGAGGTCGGCGACCAAGACGGTCGATGAAAGGCAATACGAGACCGGTAGTGACAAGGAAGATGACATATTGGATAATGGAAGACGTAAGAGCGGTGTTTCCAGTCATGCCAGCCATCCTGAAGATATAAACGAGGTAGTAAAGCATGACATTTCCTCCCCTGGATCCAGAGTTAGTACTAAACAGGAACCAAGAATTAGAGATATAAACTTACAGCAATTGTTGCCAGACCTGGACGCTGACACCAACAACGGTACGCTTCCAGATACCAGGCGCGAAAAGGCCTAGGTAGCCAATGTCCTTGGACTCATTAGCGATGCGAACAGCTTCACGGACTTCTTCCATCTCAGCCAGAACAACAGGGCTGTCGAGATCACCACCAGCGTGAAGGTGAGCAAGGTTGTAGTGAGCCTCCTCCCAGCGGTCGTGCTGAGCGAGCCATCGCGGCGACTCGGGGAAGAAGAAGAGAGAGGCAAGGAGAACAAAGCCAGGGATGGCTTGAACACCCCAAGCGATTCGGAAAGCAGCGGGACCATCGACTGAGATGGAGCAGCCGTAAGAGATGAGGTACATAATGAGGATACCTGGATTCTGTTAACCAATGACACTGGTATTCGGATGTGTGCGACATACCCCATTCAATAGCCCACTGCTGAATACCAACGATACGTCCTCGAATTTGAGAAGGCGCCAGTTCAGCAAGGTAGACCAGAACCTGCGAGCTAGTAATACCGACAGCGACACCGCTGACGACGCGACCAACAATAAGATGCGCAACGTTTTGAGCAGAGCACTGAAGAACAGCACCAACAATCCAGAAAAGGCAAGCAATCATGAGCGACTTGCGACGACCAAGACGATCAGCGATTCCTCCTGCGGCGAGGGCACCGACAAAGGATCCTGCCGACATGGAAGCTGTGATACCGCCCTGGGCTGTTGAGTCAGGACTATTGAAGTAGTCGAGATACTGGTCTGAACCGATCCAGGCGCTCATGGAGGAGATATCGAAACCGAAAAGCATACCGCCAATGGTGCCAAAGGCGGCAAGCGCTGAAATGTGTTAGTGAACAATCACCATCTGTAAGTCAGGACAAGAGAACATACCGTAGATGTTCCAAATTCGATACATGGTGACGAACTTGCACGAGGAAACACAAACAAAGCAGTCTGTCTGTCTGTCTGTCAAACAAGAATTCGAAAACTCCCAAGAGTCGCAACTCTTGGTCCTTTTATAAAGATTCACATCCCAAGTCAACTTGTTCAACTCCATAGAGCCAAGCAAGGATGGCGTGGAGAACGTGTTAGAAGCGCACGAGTGATGTTTTACGATTTCGATGGGTCCGAGGCCCAACGTCATGCACTTTGTGGAGGTTGCCCATGGGGAGGATCGTCGGTTGCGATAGAAGCTAAGGTTAGAGTAGCGATTAGACGAGTTATAGACTAGGGGGTTTCTTCTTGGCTTGGGCTGTTGGGTTTGGCGGGACGTGGCGTGGTTTAGGTTTGAGACGGTTTGATGGTTCGGGCAATTCTTGATTTCTTTAAGATAACCTCAGGACTGATTTCATCATGAACGCGTGAGTTTGAGCATTCTATCACCATCTTGGTATATGAGTCAACAAAGCGTACCTTTCCTCTAGCTGTTGCCATATACTAACATACAGTCCAAAGCCATCGCAAATGCAATTGTTCGACGTCGGTAAATCACAAGCAACTGCAGCCAAGTTGGCCGTTGCCTAGGCGGAAGTCTGGGCGGCTCCGCGAGAAGGAGAGGGTATTCCCGGCGATGATATCATTGCTGGGCATGGGTGCCATGCAATGTCACCCTAGAGTACCTCGTTTGCCGGTGAGGAGCGCCATTGCCGACCTGAATGTACTCGAGGGATACGGTTTCTCGAATTTCTCTGGAAGACTTGGTAGTTGTTTTTGATGAGAAATGATTGGAGCGCATGCGTGAACTCGCAAGAAACTAACGTTAGATTCTGTTGTTGTAGAAGAGAAGAGTAACGATCGTCATCTTGTCTGTGCTTTGCGCTTTCTGTTTTCAGAGGGAAGGAGAGACCCCACAACACCTGCCTCTACTTGCATAGGTTGTTCCTGACAGTCTCGTAAATTTTGAGGCCTTTTGTTTACGATCAAAAGTACAGTACCTGCTTTGTTCTAAAGGACAGGGGAGAACAACCTAGGGGTAATAATATTGGCCAAGATATTGGGCATTGTATTGCATGTCATCAGCGGCGCCTGTTTTGTTGCCGTGGGGAAAGGACCGAAAAGCTTCTCCATTCCCCGATTTCTTCCCCCAAGTTCCCCAAATTATTCGGGGTAAATGTGGAATTCAAAGAGTCAGGCAGTAAATGTTATGGGTCACTATTGCTACCATCTAGAGATAATATAGGTCTAACAGACTCAATTAGATAGATACTCTTGACCTTCAACTAACGGAGGAATCATGTCATGTCATGTCATAGAAGTTAGTTGTGCTATTCATGAGTCATATGGATACCAAGACGTTATCTTATCTTGGCTTCTGCTTAGAGAAATACTCCCAACTCTGGGTACTTGACAACCAAAAGACATTCATCTTTGATCCAGTACAGTACAGTACCAGGGTTGTCAGGAGGCTTGGCTCCATATCCCTCAGATCATTACCTCATTCATCCCCTTCTCAGGCCAAACTCCCGACTTGGCGAATTACCGCGTGAACTTTTAAATGACAATTGCAATTGTATTTAGGCAAAATGCAATTTACACCGAGAATTTGAATAATCTCGGTCCAATTGACATTGATTTAGTTGTGACGTTTCCTTGTTTTCCTGTTACATTATTGGGGTAAGTCTTGGATTATCTCATAGCTCAAATGCTGCTTCATCTCTTTACCCCAACTTTGCTCAGATCGGTAAGCAAAAGAGAGCTTGGTTGACAGATGGGTACTCTAGTAGTGGCTAAATTGGGCACGAGGCTTGGACCGCTTGGCAAATCCCATAGCCCCAGTAGTATGTAGTACCGTACTGTGGATGGTGGATAGTATAAAGTCTTGGTATAGGGTCCGTGATGGGGTCCATCATCGGACTCTGCCGGATTGGCATCAACAAGTCAAGTAAGTCAGACGTTAATCAGTGACTTCTTCAACCTGCCCAGAGGTGCTTTTTATTGCGACCATCGTGCAGGCCTTTCGGGGATGTCCAAGGTTGAGCTCCTTCTTTAAAACAATGACTGGCTATTTCGTGTACTTGTAATTCCTGCTTTACCAATCTCAGTGTAAGAGCATGAAGGCTATGTCAAGGGGGCTGAGGCTCAAAAGATCTCCTCTTATACCAGCGTTAACCACGTGGTATTTGTCGATCTTCCCCAAGATTTATGATGGATATCAATGGATCAGCCAAGACTGCTGTGAATACTACCTACCATTCACACAGTAGGAAACAAGGACTGTCTAGACTTTGCAGATTGCTCTACAAGTTTGTCGTTTTGAAGAGCCTGGCTAAGACCCCGACAGTAAATATATGCTTCAGGGCCTGATTTCTGGCGAGTGGGCGAGGTCTATTTGAGCACAGGTCTTGCACGAGTCCCTTTCGAGTAAGGATTGACCTCACGACCTTCGAACTAAGATTTATGTCAACCTCAAGCTACCGCGTGGTTTCAGAAGCTGCATATTTTCGGCTATTGTGTTTTCATGGATATTGACATTGGAGCGGTGCTCCTTCAAGTATGTACACGAAGATAAAGCTATATACATGTGTCATCATCAAGTGGTTTGATCTTCTGGGAAGAAGTGCAAAGCCCTGGTATTCGTCGAACAGCCAGCTACTTGACTTATACCAAAGCGCCAGGTACTTCAACACACAAACTCATTCCTCTCAAGTCCGACAAATTTCCCCAGGCTAGTTCCTTAAAAGTTGGCCTTGGCCTTGTACTGAGCATCAGGAGTCACGCCAACCTTGTTGACAACAACAGTCTTTCCAGTGCTGCTAGTAATCTTAACATCGACAGACTCCTTGCCAAAACCGGAAGGGTTCTCAAAGAAATTGTACTCCTTGCGCTCAGTCTTACCCCAGGTCTTGCCGCCGTCCGTGGAAACCTCGACGCTCTTGACAGGCTCGTTGGCGTTGACGACCTGGATGGAGAACCAGTTGGTGGAGGTACCGGACTTGTTGTGAAGAACAAGAGGAGTGGTGATGCCGCACTCAACAAACTTGTAAGAGGTCTTGACGATGCCGTTTGTGCCGCCAACGGCCTTGAAGGCGTCGGGGAAGAGATCGAGATGGCCGGGGTCACACTCGGGGCACTTGTCGACGATCTAGACAAAGTTAGTTGGTGGTTGACACTATGTTTGAGATGCTTACCATGGCCTTGACAGTTCCGGAGGGGCCGGTGACTTCGATACAGGCACCGCAGTTGGCAGCGCTGTCCCACTTCTGACCAGAGAAGGCGGTTCCCATGATGCCGGCAGGAAGAGTATAGGTGGTGAACATGCAGTTTCCGCCAGAGAGGTTACCACCGTAGAAAGTGGATGAACCAGAGACAGATGCGCCATTACCAAGAGCCTTAGATTTGGTCGTAGTCTTGGCCTTAGAAGCAGTCTTCTTGGCCTTGGACACGGCCTGAGGCTTGATAGCGGCCTTGGTAGTCTTGCTGGCAGCAGCTGCATGAGTTGCAAGAGTGGTGTGAACAGGCTTGGGCTCGACGGCTGTATTCTCAGGAGCTGAGTAGACAGGAGCAGCAGCTTCGGCACTGGGGTGCGGAACCTTGCAAGCTCGGCCCATAACAGCGGGAGCAAGGAGAACGGGAAGAAGGAACTTCATGGTGATCGACGTAACGAGGTTTCGGATATACAAAATCGATTGACGGTATGATCGGCTTGGGACTGGCCAAGAGCTGAATAAGGTACAACAAAGAGTGAAATAAATGAGTGAGCGAGATCGTCAAGATTCTCAATATCGAAGTTGAAACAAAAGAGTAGTATGTGCAAGCTTCAAACAAAAAGGCCAAGAGTGCGAAACCACCGCATTATAAACATATTCCTTTGAGCAAGTTTTTCGGATGCCGGCACCACGCAATGCCTCATAACTTCCAAGATCCAGACCATTCGAGTAGGGCTGAGACACGCTTCGCGATCCGTCTAATTTCAAGTTTAGCAGTGTGTTGCAGGGATTACCAAGGTAACAACTGGGGTTGATATGACGGGAAACGGTCGACTTAGCCCGAAAGAGGAAACTGGGACCCGTTTTGTGGCTCGATGAGATTAATGAAATCGAGTGTTGGTCGGCTTGTTATTAAAATGATATTTGGTGTAGAGTCGACAGATGGTAGTTTTGTGTAGAGTCCTGAAGACGGAGTAATTTGAGAATACGCGTTTCCCCCAGGGGTATAAATTGGCGGATAAGATGTGAAAATATGTCACAGCATTATTTCTGTCGTCGGTTGTGTCGATGAGATCGTAGAGTTGCATTAATGGTCGGTATAAGATGACTTGTTTCTAGGGAACCCACTTTCCATGAAACCTATATCACGGCAGTCTTGTCTTAACTCCTTGGCTTGGTTCTTCGACACTATTAAAACATGGAATTGACCCAATTACGTGAATAGAAGTACCAGTAACAAGATTCTGTTGAAACACCAGTATACTAACCAAGAATTCACCTCGTTTGAGCAGCCACATTGTAGATGATGGCCTCTCACCATTAATGCGACGACGAAGCTGAAAGCATCAAGAGCCAAAGATTTTACTTATGGAAAAAATGATGGTCATTGCCTGTACCAGAAGATATCCTTCGCCAATATGTGGCCCTCCTGTCGACTGAGAGTACCTTGAACACATGCCTTTACGGTTGTCCTCCCGCTTGAAAGGTAAAACTGAGGGGTGTTCTTCTTTCATTGTCGAGTTGTTCTTTACATCAAATGTGACGGTTCAACTCAGATTGTTCTCTACCATTATGACAATGTTCTGCCTATCTGAGTACAGCAAGTTGATAGATTCAGAACACTCTGATAACGCCCAGACGATGTTACATCTGGGTTTGGACTCCTACAATGACATTTCTCGGCTACTGCAAGATGTTATTCGAGGGTTACTTATATTCATTTCTCGGTTCCGTAGAATATTATCTGATTCGCGGTACGCACACCCTCTCAAGCGTTGCGATGATAGCCCGCATTAACCTCGATAGTAACTTGCAGGACTAAGATGTACTCGTGATGTACTTAATGCATACCCAGTGTAATATTCGAAAGCTCCGAAGTGCTTGCTCTTCGTGGTTGCATTCCAGCAAACTCCTGGTGTTACACACATATCCTGACTTGACACTATTCTCGAACCCGGCACCATGATGTTTGTTCAGACTCGGCACACTCGATCTGTTACACTTCGTATCAGCAGAGAAGCGAGTAATTATCTTCTCCCTCCTCCCTCCTGGTTCGTTGAGGCAATTGTCAGAGGAACGGTTTGTGCCAGTGCTGCCAGCTATTGCCGGTCAGCGGCGCTGTACTGCGTTGACAGTGACAGTGCCCGAGCTGTGAATAATGACCATGACCATTCTGCAGTAACCTGCCGGTTTATAAATCTTTGTTCATCTCCTTCTCCTTCTCATTTTCTTTCTTTCCTTCTCATCCTCAAGGAATCAAGACAGTCTGCCTTTCCATCCCCATCCACACTTGGATTTCCATCCCAACCTTCATCTCTCTAGAAGATACCTACCTGTCTATCAAACACTCGTCACCATGAAGATTTCTACCATCGGTAAGTAAACGAGGCCTCATCATATCAATCCAACTGAAATTCACCCGCTAACCATCTATCCTCCAGCCCTCTTCGTCTTCGGAGCTGCTGCCGCTGTGCCCTCCAACAAGGCCCCCGCGAAGCCTGTCGAGGTAGCCAGCACCAACGAAAAGGCCGCCTGCTCCATCCAGTGCACTTTGTGGAACCGAAGCTGCCTCAATCGCCCCTGGTCCTACTCTTGCGATGACCGCGGCAACTTTCGCCGTCGCGCCTGGCACCCTGACTGTGATAAGTACTGCTGGTGCAAGTGCGACTCCAAGGCCTAATCACACAACTCGGTCCGAAAAAAGCTGTTCTGCTCGCTTCAGTTGATGAGAGCTTAGTCTTCATACGACAACTGGTTGGACATTCATCGGGGTGGTATTGGATCGATGATTTCTAGATATTGAGGATGATCGTGGTCTTCGGTCTTGCGAAGCAGAATTGCTTCCATTGATCTAGACATCTAGTCCAAAAGGGACGTACACTCAATAAAACGTGTTTACACATACTATGTGCCGATGTAATATGCAAGTGATTAAGTATTGTATGTGTCTGTTCTCTTAACTGAACGGGAACAACTTTAGACATATGTGCAAAGGCGTGTCCACAAGCCTCCCAAGGAACATAAGGAACAGGATGTTAAACTGTTTCTGCATCCTGCAGATATCCTAGGGGACAGCCCCAGATCTTAGGCGCTTTCTACCTGCACTAGTCGGCTTCGTGGTATATGTCCTTGGTACAGGCAGCTCTATTAGAAGACAATATCATAGATGTATATAGACTAATTCCATACCCAGGCCACCAATCTCAAACTGACACAGACGCTAACATGTAATAATGCTTTTCATCCGACTTTACTTCTCAACATCACTTTGTGACGAAGCAGAGATTTTCCTCGTGGCTGTGTCATTGAACACAAGACCAGGGTGTCCTACACAGAGACAGAAGACAGCAATGACAATGAGTCTGTGAGATTGTTAGCAGAACATCCATATATCTAGAGAGAACAGAAACTTACACTCCCTCTAGACCAATAAAGAGACCTTCGTCTGTGATAAGGTCCGAGTCTTGATAACCCTCGCTCAACTCATAGCATCGGAATGCGCAGCGCGCAAGGATCAAAATAACAGCAGCGCTGACGAAGCCAAAGAAGATTCGCATCTGGCTACTCAGCGCACCTGAAGATCCGCTTCGGAAATATCGCCAGAGATAGTCGCCAAGAAGAGCGCAGAAGAGAACGAGGATAACGACCTGGAGCGAGAGACCGGCTAAGGCAATGTCGATACCTCGTTGACTTGAGCCTTGGCTGATGGTTGAAAGAGCGCCGCCAGTGCCTTGAAGAGCGAGACAGACAATATCGGCGGGAATGAAAATCCACCAGATGACTTCTGGCTTGAACCGTGAAACTTCGGGGGCAAAGTGCTTGATACTGGACAAGTTAGATGATCCTCCGTGGTTCGGACAGTCATAACTTACATCTTGGACAGAGTCACGTAGATAGCGGCTGTATAGAACACAGGACCACTCGTGATAAACACAATCTGTATCATAAACCCTCCAAAGTTGAAAGGGTTGTTATACAGGATAATACGACCGATATACCCAATAATCTCAAATATGCAGCCGAGCATCATGAACGACATATAGAACCATTGCCTCCAGCGAATGCCCAGCGTAATATGAACTCCCATAGCGAGACCGTAGAGCACGATGAATGTGATGTTCGCTGCGAGCGAGGGTCGGTATTGGTAAACGCTCCATTCTATTGGACAGAGTTCGAGAGTGCAGTTTGCGTCTGGGCCAAAGACGACGAGGCCGTTGGGCGGTTGTCTTGACATGGTGGTGACTGATATTGATGGTTGGAGGTTACTGATAATGATGGGTATTAGGGAGTAATGAAGAATAGGTATCAGTTCAATGTCTGTTCAATAAGACGGACCAGGAATGGAATAGCCTATTAACTTGGTGTTGTTTGCTTTAAGCGTCTCATCTCAGAATTTAAGCTGATCAGAAAGTGGCTTGTCTCGACTTTTAAACGTATGATGGCCATGATAAACTGTTTATCAACTACTGCACATATCAACACCTCGAAACAATATCCCAATTGATCTCCAAAGTCAGCCATTCGCACTCGCTAAACAAGCGCCAAGCCTCAGCTCCCCCCCTTCAGCCCTGTGACAAAAGCGAATGCGAGGCGCCGACCCATCAAATTGACTGCTCGGAAACTAAACAACCCCTGTAGTCAGATCAAAGGCTAAGCTTCTTCGAGGAAGCCTTTCGAGAAGGAATGCTGCAGCTAGAGCGCTTTGGGGAAGGCCATTCGAGCTTCATCGTCATTTGCGTGAGAGATGACAGCTCGATATTGATGTCTTTATTTGCTCTGTGATATTGGACGATGCGAGTGCGAGGGTTTCAGAACTAAGCATGTTTTTAGTATCTTGGCGGCTGTCATGTTTGGGAATCAATACGTCCAGGGAGTCTAGGCACTTCGGTTGCAGTCATATTGTTTTTACTCTCTATTGTTGGCACAAGACGGTATGCAACTTGTGGGTGCCATCCACGATTCATCGACTCTAGCTCGTCTTACCCGTCACTTTAAAGCCTCGGGTCCGAAAATGGTCATCGGCTATCCGGGTGTGCTTTGTGATTTAGTAGCTTACCCTAGCCAGATGCTCTCTCCTACGCGTCATCTCAAGCTGATCGAATTGAAAATGGTGATAACATTATATTTAGGCGTAATGATCTAATCACCTCTAATACACCATCCTGAGATGGTGTTCTGATGACGGCTCCAGCCTCTGCCGTATGTAGTGGCGGGAACCGTTCGCGCCAGCATCGTGTGTCTCAGGGGCATTTACGCCACCATGTGCCTCGACCACTAGCCAGGAGTTCTTTCCATAACATCTATTCAGTTCTCGTCACACTCAGGGTGTTCTGATCCCTGGTAGACCTCCTCTTCCCCTGTTCGCACTTACGAAGAGATACCAGCATCCCTCTCAATCTCCTCCTTGCTAGGACACCACTTATCTTGAAGCGCCTTATCGGTAGACAATTCAATCACATTCTTCTCCCACCACTCACCCCAGCTTGTCAAGAAGATGCGGTCGCGATCTTCAGGGAAGTCACTTCGTGTAAGAGCAGCAAGGACGCTCGAGGCACCTATCCCCCCATTAGCAACCCATGTCAAAGACAGGCATGTTATATGCACTCACCTTCAGGAATAGACTTGGCGTCAGGCATGCTGGCCTGTATTCCCATCTGCTTTGCAAGACCCGTACCGGGAATCAGACCAGGCGATACAGCGACAACATCGTTGGAGTCTGCTAGTTGACGACGCCACCAATGTGCGCCGAGAAGGCCAGTAAACTTGGTGTTGCTATATGTCGTGGGAGCATCAGCCCCGGATCCTGCCATGAGCTCTTCGTCAAGCTCGCCTATTTGCTGTCAGAACTCATTCGTCAAGCCGACATGGAACTTACTAGGGTCTGAGACTCTGCGTATAGCACCAGAAGAAACAAACACAATCCTCGACTTGGACTCGACCAACTTCTCTTTCAGGAGGTGTACAAGATAATGCTGCGCTGTAACAGTAACACATTAGCAAACGTTCTACCAACTTTGTACCACCAAGTTTCGCGTACAGAGATGGTTCACGACATGCGACTCGCACCACTTGGATCCGTTAGGACCTGGTCCATCAGCACCGACACCGCCGAGTCCCGCGTTAAGCAGCAAATAGTCAATCTTCTCACGGCCAAGCTTCTGAAGGGTCTGTTCAGCGAACGACTTGACGCCCTTGAGATCACTCAGTTCGAGAGGAACAATAGAAACGCTGCTAGATGAGTGGTCGTAGTTGATCTCATCATAAGACTTTTGCGCTCTCTGTGTGTTACGCGCACCAAGAATGACCTTGTATGGTTGACCTTGGCTGAGGAGCTGCTTGATAGCTTCCAGGCCCTACTTTGGTGTTAGTAATATCTCACCAAAGATTGTAGAGAGAGTACAATTCCAGATGAAGCACCTGTAGCGACGACTGTCTTTGCAATAGATGCCATTGTTCAATTGACTTAATGATTTGTTCAGATAAGTTGAATTGTAAATAGTGCTGATGCTGACGGTACCTACTCGAGT